TACTAGTTGAAATGTGTTTCAAAATAATTTGGGCACAGGGAAAAGAACAGTAGATAGGTATATAAATGACACAAGATTGGCCAATAATCATGATATAAGTAATTGCTGAAGATGAGTAATGAGTATATAAGAATGCACATTATTCATGTATATTCATAGTTTTCCAGTTTAAGATTATTTTTAAGCTAGGTAATGCTGGCTGAGGTAAAAGAGAATTACCACAAATTTGAGGCTAGATTGGGCCACACAGTGAGTTTTGCAAGGTGCTATCTCAAAAATAATTAGATTAAATTTTTTAAAAAATAAATTTAACAGGGTTCTTAGTTAAAGAAACTATCTGCTTTCATCTAAGTTTAAACCATTCTCTTAGAATGATTAAGCCTAAACCCTGGCTTAGGTTTGTAGTTTTCCAGGGACTAAAGTTAGCTTTTTGAAAGTGTAACAAAAGGAATGTCACTTGCTGATTTTCACCAAGAAAAATAAGAATCAAGATACAAGGGCTAGCCAGATAGTGCAGTGGATTAAAGTGCCTGCTTAGGCAGACACAGGGCTCCAAGGTTCCATCCCTGGCCTGCCATGCCGGCCCAGGCCGGGCACGCTGACACATGGATTGAGACTGCACGTGGTGGCACGTGCCTGTAATCCCAGTTCTTTGGGGGGCTGAACACAGGTGGATCACTACAAGTCTGATCTATGTAGTAAGACCCTGTATACCTTGTAGATCCTTCACTAAATACCCCCCCAAAAAAAACCCAAAACATAGTTACATTATCTAAAAATATGTCATATATTGAAATGTCAAATATGTAAGGAGTTTGACAAAAATTTCAGGACTGCTTAAAATTGATTAGAATTCCATTTGTACATAATATTGAAATATGATCTTTACTTTTTTTAATTTGGAGAAGACTCATAGATAACGCAAATAGTCAAAAAGTTTAAATACTTCAACATATACTTTATTTTTTGGTACCAGGAATCAAACTCAGGACCTTGTACTTGCCAGGCAGGAGCTGTGCTACTGAGCCATATTCCCTAGCTTTCTGTATGTATTTTACAAGAGATGAGATAAGATGACTGAGCTCAGTGGCCAGGGTTCAATCCCCTGTGTGCTGTGCCAGTCCTGCCCACAGGACAAGCTGAGAAGGCAATAGAGAATGGGCGTGGTGATGCGCGCCTGTAATCCCAGCACCCGGGAGGCTGAAAACAGGAGAATCACTATGAGTCCATTCTACGTAGTAAGACCCCGTAGACTCTGTCCTAAATACATTACGATAAAATAAAGACTAAAACAACAAACAGAATTTGAATGAGGGAAGGCCAATATAAGCTTACTATCTTCCATCTTCACTTAACTTACAGAGCCACAGAAACCAGATTAAACATTTTCATTTCTTAAAATGAAGTGGACTGCATAGTTACTGAGTTCACTGATAAGGTCAAAAACTCTTTGATACAAGCTATACAGTTATATGTAGAAGATGGGCAAGGCAATGATTCTGAGAATCTCCAGAAGATTTTTATTTGTGTGTGTGTGTGTGGCCAGCTCAGCCCACCAGGGGGTGGGGCTGGCTGGCATGTGGTGCTGGGGGATTGAACCGCGGTCCCTGTGCTTTACTAAGCTTGTTCTAAGTAGGTGCTTTAGACCACTGAGCCATCTCACCAGCCCCTCCAGCAGATTTTTGAATCTAGCAGTTAATTGGAAAGATTCTCACCCTCACTAACTATATATACTGATACCTGTGAACTGAGCAACTGCACTGAAGATGGCAATTTGTAATAGTAGGTTCATGCTTGGAGTACCTGTCACTCTGGTCTTCTGAATACGGGCTGCTTGTCATGACATGCCAGTTACTGCTGTGCTGTCTCTAGGGTAGATGATTATTCAAAAAGAAGAGGGTGGTGAATGAAGGCAGGAGACAGGAAAAAGGATGTTGTGGGACTACCCTGCTTCAAGGTTGTACATGGATAGATTTTTGGACTTAAGTGTAACATAAGAAGTATATAATTCTTTATGCCTATTTTTAAAATATATTCTAATTTTTAAATGTTTTTTCATCATATTCTATAGGGACTTAAAGTTCAACATATAAATACTTGATGAAATATACCTGCTCCATGTTATGCCTAAAATGTTTGATATTCAGACAAATAGTGAAGTTAAGCTTAACAGCCTAGATTGTAATAACAATAAACTTCTCTTTGGGACTGTTAACAACCTAAGTCTGCAGACCAAAATTAGAGAAAAAGGAGGGCCACATGGAAAGCCAACATTTTGGCCCTATCCTTCCAAGGTCAATTAAGACTCAGGACATATGGGAACTTGTACTGTAATGTCACATAAGTTGGTAGTGTCCCAAATTTTCTGATCAAGATTATGGGGCCAAAGAGGAAAGTGATTGATGATGTAGAGTGTGCCTAAGGAGAGTCACATGGAGAGAAAACATTCTCTCAGGCTTTCACAGAGAACACACTGGCCAAGCAATGGCCGTGACTCATCCACATGGCTGACACTGACAAAGGATATACAATCTGAGGTACAGGATCTCAGGATAAATCCTGAGGGGATTTCACTGACCTTATCAGACCCAAAAGCTACAACTCTTGTTGCATAGGTCTTGCTTTATCTTGGTCTTAACCATCCAGCAGAAAAGTATAAAAACAACGTATAAGAAGTAAAGTCATGCTGTTACGTTGAGCTGTAGGGGACTCAGGTCAACAATTTCTGACATTGCCAGTGAAGCGGAAGACCCAATACTATTATGGACTACTGGACTCTGTTAACACACCTATAATATTCAAATAACGGAACTAAAAAAAAAAAAAGGCGATTCAGATGAATGTCCATTTTGTATCTGTGTATTCAAAATGGTTAGAATAGATATATAGTTACATTCTCTTAATGAATAGAGGGATTTGTTGTAATAGTGTTTGTAAATAGTGTCTAGGATATCATGTCTGCATCTTGTACAGCAATTAACCACTAGGAAGAATGTATTCAATGTGTTAATTATTGAAACTGTCCTATCAATTTGGTTTGAAACTGTCTCATTGCTATTTGTTTCTCAATAAAATTATGGGAAAAAAATAAATATAGCTAGTGTTGCTAAAAAACAAAAACAAACAAACAAAAAACCTCTTTGATGCCCTGTTTTTGATAAGTATACTGAGAAAAATCAACTCTATTTTTTTCTTCTTAAACACTCATTGTATAAACATTTAAATTAAATACAATGAAATTTTTAGGTTGAGGCCTCAGAAGATCAAATTTGAAACTACAAAATGTCCATTTTCTTCCTACCTTATCTTGTTCTTGGCCTTCTTATACTCATCCCACATTACATTAAAATAGCTGAGTTGCAATCAAGTCTGGAGGCAAGAGAGTGACCAAGATGAATTCTTAAATTCCCTTTAGCCTCATGATGCTATGATTGAACTATTTCTCATACACTAAAGATAGCAGCTTGTTAAGTGTAATGCACCCCTGGCTCCTAAGCCCTTAACTGGTCATCTTCTCAAATGCTAAAGCAGGTAATTCTATCTGCATATTAACTTAACATCAGACCTTCAGAGCAAATGAAGATGACTGAAGGCAAGTATCAATTTTGAATTTTAGAACCAAAAATTGCCTTGGCAGAAGTCACTGTCATACAGAATGGAACATCATATAACATGGAAAAGGTGGGGAAAAAATAGAGGGGGAGGGGGACATAGAACAAAATGCTTTATAATCATATTTGTAATCTCACACTACCATATGTCACATATGAAAACTAAGGCATTGCCTTGTGGAAATATTAACACTAAAGGCTAGGCATGGTGGCACACAACTGTAACTCTAGCACTGAGGGAGCACTGGGAGGCTGAGGCAGATGATCACTGCAGGTTCGAGGCCAGTCTGGACTACATACTGAGTTCAAGGCCAGCCTAGAGTACATAGTGAGACCCTGTCACAAAAAACAAAAACAAACAAAAAATACACTAAAATAAAAAAGGACCGGGGAGATGGCTCAGTGGAATAAGCACTTCCCTAGTAAGCACAAGAGCCTGAGTTCAATCCCTGGTTCCGCAATAAATAAATAAATAAAATTTTTTAAAAAAGAAAATATAGGTCACAAAATCGTAGGAATTCTAGGGAACTAAAAATAAAAGAAACAAAAAATTTTAAATAGCATTTATGTTCTCTTAAAAAGATTATGAAATATGATCTACTAGGCAGTCCCCTAAATTATCCTAAAAGTATCACTACTAAAACTCTGTACAAAGGGCTGGCCAGATAGCTCAGCAGACTAAAGCACCTGCTTAGACTGAGAACAGTGGCTGGGATTCAGTCCCCTGCATGCAGTGCCAGCTCTGCCCCCAGGGCAAGCTGAGCTGGCGATTGAGACTGGGCCTCGTGGCACATGCCTGTAATCCCAGCACTTGGGAGGCTGAAAGCAGAAGAATCACTACGAGTCCGATCTACGTAGTGAGACCCTGTCCTAAATACATTAAAATAAAACTCTATACATATTTTTCATATAGGAGAAGAAATATTAGGTCAGAACCTAGAATGGTCTTTATCATTTTTCTCAGAGCACAGAAATGCTATAAGATGACTTAACATTATGAAAACAAAGGCTATCAAACTCTACTGTGAATATATGTGGCATCCCCAAAACTGGTATTAAAATTTGCAGGATCCATCCCAATGCAAAGCTACCCCTTCAAACAAGATTTAAACTAAACACAAAAAAGAAAACCCAACAGCTGAAGACAACATCAGGTTATTTATAAGACTTCTTTCAGTCTCCCAGACACCATCACACGGGGACTGTAAATAACTAAAATATCTTTGAAGCTCTCATATCCACACCCACATCCACAGACACAAGTAGAACTGTAACCACAGTGAAATCAGGCTTAAGTTTCCTTTAGTAAGTATATGTCTGTGATAGTAAACTATAGTAAATGTAAAGGCAATAACATAATTTTTTATTCTTTTAAAATAAAAAGCATACCTTTTTCTCCAACAAATGGTAAAGACCATGTGAACACATCCATAAAATTGGGCAACCAGTAAGGATGCGGAGAACAATTAAACTGTCGAATATTCATCACATTGTTTTCATACTTTAATACAGCAGCTGCAAGATAAATTGAATGCCAATATAATAGTTTGTCTGTATGCTCCAAACTACAAAATACATAAAAGCAAAAAGGTATTTTTTGTAAGTGGGATAGGTAATTAGAATCTGGGCTGGTAGAGAGAGACAAAATTAATTTTTGTAGTAAGACACACTTTGTTTTTAACAAGCTTTTATGTACAATAATAGATCTTTTTTAATGGAATTTCCAATTATTTCCAAAATGTTTGCTTTATAATCCAATATGAACACACACTTTTACTAAATCCAAAATGGTGAAAATTTAATTTATAAAGGAAGCACAGAATGGAAATGAGAAGTTTTCTAGGTTTTAAATTTCATATAAACTGAGGAATTAAAAAAGGATCTTTGTGGTTTTAAGAAATCTGCTAAGGACAGCTAAGTGGTAATCAATCAAACAAACCAAAACCTCCACTAATTATTTATGGATGTGGATGTATTTGTTTACTATAGAAAATCCGGTGAAACAACTTGAAAGAAATTTTACTTCATTTAGAAAACAATTCAGCTGAAACCCAAAAGATAAGATATAATAATCTAAAGTTAAACCTTCTGGGGGATAGCTCAGTAGAATAAGCGCTTGCCTGGCAAGCGTAAGGTCCTGAGTTCAATCCCCAGTACTAAAAAAAAAGGACTACTTTAAAATAAATAAATAAAGTTAATATATCCATTATAATTTCATATATCTCAGTAATGCTTTTTTTTTTGGTGGAATCAGGGATTGAACTCAGGCCCTTGCACTTGCTAGGGAAGTGCTTATTCTATTGAGCCATCTCCCCGGCCCCTCAGTAATGCTTTAGTATCAATATAATTACATATTTTACATTAGCCTACATAAATTTATTTATTTATTTTAGCCTACATAAATTTATGTTACTGGTTATATTACTTTCAGAAGGGCTGGATTCTAACCTAAGCTGAGGCACATACTTCCTGTGTAATGCGTAGTGAATTATTTAATCTGTTTCTCACTTATAAAATAAAAATGTTCATTGTGTCTACCTCATAAGTTTAAGTTTATTTTTTGGGTTTTTTAAACATATTTAGGACAGGGTCTACAAAGTCTCATTACGTAGATCAGACTTGTAGTGATTCTCCTGTTTTTCAGTCTCCCAAGGGCTGGGTTTACAGGTGCACGTAACCACACCATCTCAATAGCTGTCTCAACGCACCCCAGAGGTGGGGCTGGCACCAATATTAAGCTTGAGATCATAGAAAACCACATAAAAATGTAAAATTGTCATCATTACAGTAAATATGTGGCTATTTTTGTTTCTTCACTTTAATGAAAAGTACTGAAACAAAGATGTTAAATTTCAAGATCTATAATACAGACCCCAAAGAAATCCTGATAAATACTACCATTTACTAACCTAGCCAGTGTATGTTTGTTTACTTTACAAAATTCCCTTGTGAAGTAAAAACATTTGGAATTAGCCTCAGACACTATGGGCTAATAACGGGCTTTCAAACCTTATTTAAGAAAAGATAGAGCCAGGCATGATGGTACACACCTGTGATCCCAGCACTTGGGAGGCTGAGGTGAGATGATCTTTGTAGGTTTGAAACCAGCCTGGGCTACAAAGTGAGCTCAAGACCAGCCTGAATTACATAGAGAGTCGTGAGACCCTGTCTCAAAAAAGCCAGGGGGGAAAAAAAAAGAGTATCTAGAAAATTGTCTTGTAAATGGTAATGACATCACAGACATGCCCATACTATGTAAACATTCAAAACATAACAGTCATGTATAGAATCATAACTACTAAAAGACATTTGATTGTGAAAAAACAGATTTAATGATTTGAATTACATTTTCAAGTATTTTTTTAAAAAAAGTGTTCTGAGTCAACGTGAAAAGGGACAACCAGTAAGGCAGTAATCAGCCGAACATTGAATACTTGTTCCTTTAACAATGACAAGAATAGACACATGAGGAATTAAGAGCACTGGAAGAGATCATATTTTTAAGTGAAATAAAACATATACACATGCTCAAATATTGCATGTTTTTTCTTATATGAGAAATTCAAAGTACATGAGTGACATAAAAGATATATAAAAGAAAATATAGAGATAGCTTTTGCCAAGTGAGAGGACTAAGAGTAGAGGGGTGAAAGTGGAGGGGAAGGGGATGGAAAAAGAATTACAATGTGTTATGTACATGTACCAATTCCCACAAGGGAACCATTATGTACCGTAAACATGTACTAATAAAAAATAAAAACTGAAGCACTGGCAAAAAATTAAATGCAACACTGCATTCTGCACTTGAGAATGGAGTAAAAACTTAGATGTTTCTTTTCAAAAATGTAGCTATATTTGAATTTTAAGTTTTTCTATTCTGTATCAAAGTTGGACGAATGTTTTCAGTTTTGTCATTTCCCATTATTCAAAATACTCAAATTTTGTTCCTCTTTCAAACTTACACCATGACCCATACTTGGCAATGACCTCATTATCTTTCTAAATGTACTTTTAACTTTCTGTTCTTTTTTCTTGGCATGTCTACTTGGGTCTGACTTTGAAGCTATGAAAACGCCAAATGAATTCCAGACATGTTAAGACAGGTCAAGAGGTGACCTCTTTAATTTCCTCTGATGTAAACTATGTAAATTCAATTTCACCTTTCCTTGGCACATATTTAACTAGACCAAGGCTCTTTGTATTATCTGTTAATAAATCTTGTTCAGAATAAAATGAAATTCTACCAATTCTATCAAGTAGATCAAATTTGGAGGGAAGGAAGAAAGAAACACTAGACCAGAAGATTTAAAAACATACTACAAAAAAAAAGAATTTATCTCTGAAAGGAGGTTACACTAGATTAATCAAAGAAAAGTCCAACTACAAATTTTTATAGGGCAGTAATAAAAGCTGAGGGATAAAAGTACATATAAACAACATAATAAACTAAACAAGTAGATGGTGCAAATAAAACTGTCAAAGCAGCAGCAGCTTTATACAAAACATTCTCTTAACTATAAAGGGAAAGGATTAAGAAAAGTCATGTTAAGAAAATAATGTTTGTTTTACTTGATGTACTTTGCCTTTTTACATCAGCTTTTGCATATGACAAGCTGTGGAATGATCATATATGACTTCCTTTCACATTTTGGATTTTTATTTCTTATTTTCTTCTCTCTCTTACAGTTTATAATTTGGATCGTTTTAAACAATATTCCATTTCTATTACATTTTCAAAAAATAAATAAATTAAAATGCGAAGTTGTTTAATAATTTTTTATCAATAACATCTTACCTTTATTATTGTAGACATCTAAGTAATTAGGTGCCGAAAAAATTGTTATTAATGAAGGGAACCCTGTAGTTTGACTTTTTCTGTACATTCTATAGC